GAGATATTCTGCATCTGCTCTGTGGGTTGGGCTCTTGCTTGTCCTATGCCAGAAGTGGCATAGCTACATTAAAGCAGTGCTAAGTGCATGCCAATAGGCTCTGCTGGGCTGTGGCGGCATTTTTTCAGCATGACACTGCTTTATGCTGTAAAGACAAACCCTATGCATCTACAGCTGGGAACTCAGAATTAGAAATGGTCTTTGAAATTGGTTTTGAGGTTTTCTTCAGCCTGGCTGAAAAGAGCACAGAATGAAGCTTCTCCCTACAAAATTAACTGAGACCAAATAATGAGGCATCTGCCGCCCTCCTTCAGCCAGTTGAGTTACGTGAAACCCCCACCTCCCCATCATGCAACCTCTCTAGTTTTCTGTGACACGACCAACACCAGCTAGGAGTCTGAAATGCATTACGTGCGACAGACCTGGTAAAAAAAAAACCCAACAAATCTTCCCGTCAAAATTGCTTTTGAACAGGTTATTTGGTTTTCAACTAAAGATATCTTTGAACAGCATCTTCTTGCTGTGCAGTACTTTGATTTTTTGTTAAAAGAAGTCTCAGAAACCCCCCCAAAAAGTTTTCACTGTATGGACAGAAATCCAACTATTTCAGTTTCAGCATGAGATAATCAGTGTTTGGTCCTGGAAAAAATAGTTCAGTCACCTTTATCTCCCTGTTTTCTTCCTTTGGCTGAGCCTCTCAGTTGGGCTTAATTTTCTACCATGCATACAACATGCATGCATGCATATAGGATCACAGGGAAGTAGGGCTGGAGGGGAGTTCAGGAGGTTATCTAGTCTAGCCCCCCGCTCAAGGCAGGATCATCCCCGACTAAGTCATCACAAGCAGGAGGGGGCAACAAGAGATTCCTTCCCATTTTTCCTGAGAAATCAGGGTTATCGACTAGTTACTTCAGGTGCCTGTACACAAATACATGGAGCCTGGGAAGCAAGCAGGAAGGACTGGAAGTCCTCGCATCATCACGACACTATGACGTGATCAGAATAACACAGCCCTGGTGGGAGCTCGCATGACTGTCGCACTGCCGTGGATGGGCACAAACTTTTCAGGAAGGACAGGTAGGCGAGAAGAGGAGGAGGAGTCGCACTTCATGTAAAAGACCCATATGACTGCTGTATGAAGCTTGAGATAGGCCTGTTCAAAGTCCCGGGGTTAAGGTCAGAGGCGAGAGCAATAAGGGTGATGTGGTGGGGGGCTGCTATAGACCATAGTTTTTCAACCTGGGGTATGCATACCCCTGGGGGTACATGGGTACCCCAACACTCTCTCTCACCCTCTTTTCCTCTCTCTCTTGCCCTCTTTTCCTCTCAAAACCATGGCAAAAAATTTGGTGCACAGTGCATTGCGTGGTGCTTTGAATTCTCCAGTAATAATTGGCATGCCACACTTTGCGCAGCACTGGGTTCAGCCCTCCTTGCTTTGGCCAACATCACCTCTAGCCCGGGTACATACTTGAGTTGTGAACTCCTGGTGTAAAACGTGGCAACCCTACCCACACCAGATCAGACATCCGTCATATCACAGCCTTATATACACAGCCCTTCTTCCAACATATGGCACACATTAGTCTGTAAATATAAAATCCCCTGGAAACCTGAGTGTTGGGGTACTTGTTAAAATTTTCAGAAGTTAGGGGGTACTTGCTACATAAAAGGTTGAGAAACACTGCTATAGACCACCAGGCAAAGGCAAGTTGAGCAGGGTGCAAGTCCCGGGGCAAACCAGCCCATGCAGGGGCCCGTCCCCGCTCTGATCCTGGACCCCGAAGAAGCTGCCACTGTCGTTGGCAGACGGGGATAGTGAGTGGCTGGATGCGGAGCCACCGCTCTGCCCAGCTCTACGGGCCCCCCCAAAGGGTAGTAAAGCACTGGAACAGGTTACTTAGAAAGGTTGTGGCATCTCCATCCTTGGAAGCTTTTAAGACCCAGTTAGGCAAAGCCTTGGCTGGGATAATCCAGTTGGGGATGGTCCTGCTTTGAAGGGACTGGACTAGAGGGCTTCCTGAGGTCTCTTCCAAACCTAATTTGCTATGAAAAGCATTCCTAAAGTCAAAGTATATGAGAACCATTGCTCGTCCCACACCCACACAGCTTATCACCTTATGGGAGATAACATCTGACCAGAGAGGCCATTACCACCGAGAAAGAAAGAGGGAGCATGATGCATGTAAACTAAGAGACCCTGATGTAGCACTGGGGTGGCATTTCTAAAATGAACTGTTTTTGTTTTGAGCTCTAATATTTTGATTCTTCACTAAAAAAATAAAATTAAATTAAAAGTCTCCTTGTGGAAATACTGATGAAAATCACTGTTTGATTTTGTTTTTATTGGGAACGATAAATCTTTTCCAAGTCATTTGACTCTCTGAAAACTTGCCCTGAGTATTCAGAGGGATGTTGAGACAGCTGGGTGTGAATGTGCTTTACACATTGGCAGGAATCAAAAAAATATTGCTAGAGACTTCTGAGTAATTTTACTTTCTCATAGCCCACTCTGCATTATTCTAATAAACACAAACGAAACCCTAGAGTTCTGCATTTGCCAACTTTGTATAAATACAGTGCCAGATTCTGATCTCAGCTACACAAATGTAAGTCTTGAACAACTTCACCGACTTTGGTTTTCCCTGAAATCAGTAGTTTTGTGATGATGTTTTGCCAAGATCACAACCTGGACCAATGCTTCAGTTCAAAATGCCCAAAATTGTATTTTTTCCAGTTCAGTTTATAGATCAGAATGAGAGACAATTGAAGCAGAATATAGAAGGATGACATATAAAAATGTTATTTAGTTTGCAAAGCCAAATACTCGAAATGGAAACGTTATATTTATGTGGTTACACTATTAAGGTAATTACTCTAAGGTAATTTTGCACCCCTGTACATTTGAATTGTGCTTTTGGATAGGCCATATTTCAGTTGGATGGTGGGGTCCAGTAATTACTCTAAGGTAATTTTGCACCCCTGTACATTTGAATTGTGCATTTGGATAGGCCGTATTTCAGTTGGACACTGGGGTCCAGTAATAAAGGCAGTGTCAAAAAACATTCAGAAGCTGTCAACGTGGCAACCTCAATCTGGCATTTACTGATTTGCAAACAGGTACTCGACTTTGCAACTCTGATTATACACTTGGAGTATTTTTCTTGATGGAATTTCCATTCTTAAAAAAATACATAAATCAAAAAGCAAATTCTCTCATGTACAACCATTAATTCTCCTGCGTACAATTGCTGCACACCCTCACCATCGTAAGTGAAGTTAGAAACTGGAATCCTTGTTACTGTCTGCTAACACGAGGCTTACAAGAATAACTACGTTTAGCTATCAGTTGGAGAAGGCTCCAAATCCAGGCTGGAGGTACAGGGCAGAGTGGGGTCTCAATCTGGGGGAGGTTGGTTTAGATACTCCAGTGTTCACATTCAACT